TTACGTTGATTGGATATCAATAACTATCTGATCGTGTTAGTTTTTTTGTCAACTATTAACTATAACACCATACATTTTTTTATACAAAACTGATTTGATCATGTTACCGATTTCAGATCAACGTGATTTTTTACAAGCATATAGTCCTGGATGAGTTCTACATATTGAACGGTTTAGATTATTAAAATAAGACTCATGGTGGGCCCCCACGAACCCAACATTTCTGTCAAACTTAGTGATTTTATATATGTAATTCTTTTTTTTTTCCTCTCATGGTAGTACAGTGTCAATCTAGCTCCGAAAATTGGGTAAATTTTGTTTGATTAAAATATTATATATATTAATTTTTAATATTTTTTAATATTTTTAATTTCTGTCACTGGGGTGCGGGGGGTCGCCCCTACTGGGGGTTCCCAGCATTGCCCTTTATTTTTTTATAATTTTGTAATTTTTTAACTTTTTTGATACACCCCAAACCAGACCTAATATAATATTTATATTTATATATTTTTTTATCATGTCGTGGAGCAATATGAGCCTCACAACGATATAATATTTATATATATATATATATAATATTTTTTTTTTTCTTGTCACATTAGTAAGACTCTGTGTAGAGGTCTATTATTAAAGCTCTTATGTGGGTATTTGAAAAATAGTTATTTTAGAAATTTTTGACTTTTTAACTATTTTAGTAGGTTATTTTAGTTTTTATGTTTGGGAAGATGGATGGATTTTATTTGAGTTGGTGTATTGAAAAATGTATTGAAATGATGTTTGAAATTAAAATGATAATTTTCCGTAACCTCACATTTTTCAAAATTAATCTAAAGAAAAAAAATTGTAATTTACCAACATGTCACTGTAGCTTGCTTTGGCAAGCTAGCAAAAAACTAGCTTTTAGTTTTTTTAGCCAAAAAATTAGTTTTTTTACCTAAGTCACTACCCAAAAAATTAACTTTTTTAGCTAAAAATTCAAAAGTCAGTTTTTTTATATTTTCCAAATATTCCGTGACAATGGTAGACTGTGTCTACACTGTCACAGTAACAGCCCACTACCGGCCTATATATATATATATATTTTTTTTAACTATTGGTTGAGAGGATTTTATTATTTTATTATTATTATTATTATTATTATTTGTGTGGGTAGGCGATGCCTACACTGTCACACAGCCCACTGCCGGTTTTTATATATATATTATTATATATTTTTTTTTTAACTATTGGTTTAGAGATTTTTTTTTTTTTTTTTTT